AGCCTGTTTAGTGATATGCAAGTGGCCATTCTGATTTCTACATAGCTCACAATTCCAAGTGAGGGTTCCTTCACTTCGTGTAGCTTACTGGTATTAAGTTTTAACTTTAAACCTGAGGACCTACAGGCCTGCTCCAATGAACCTGGAGACCTGTTGGCCTGAGATGTGTTGGCCCGTTACCAAAATCTTGACTTTGACGCGCATGATCCTGATCTTTTGACATGCTTGTCAAAATTCCTTCAGCCCTGACATTCAGTATGACTTGAAAAGACTGTCTGCTGATTCTCCGCTGGACAGAGTACAGCTGCTACTTTCATAACACTCAAGCAACTGGTTCTAAGACTTATCCAATAATGAGAAAACGGTGTGGTATCGCCTCTGGGAGACCCACTCACTTACTTCCACCTCTCAGGAAAAACCATCTTCCAACTGACCATCACATCATATATGATCCCATTTGATCCAAACTTAGATCAAATGAAGAGACATTTGGCCAAGTTTTGTACGGGTCCAAGTGCATAAATCAGGTTCTATCAGGTAAAATTGCCCTATGGAATTATATGTGTTTTCGGGACTGCAAAATTACATCATCTCACCTTGCCGAACCTCTGTTCTAGCACTTCATGTTCCCACTTTAGGTCCTTATTCTCTTTTTCTGCAATCTTCAGATGTGCCTTGGCGCGCTGTGGGGAGACAGTACTTCACCAACCTGCTTTTTTATCTTTCAGCTTAAACACACCACCCAGTGCGGAGATCTACTGCACTATTTTACACTTGCATGTTTCTGCTCATTGTAGTAGTTGAAGCTACTGGCCAACTTCAACTGAAAAAACCTAGAAATAAAAAATGCTGCAGATTTTAAACTAAACATTTGATCAGTATCACTTCATCCTTCTCAAATACCACGAGGTCCATATCCAATAACAGTACAAAATGAAAATGTGGACAAAGCCAGTAAAACAGAGCCAACACTGAGAAGCTTACAGCAGCCTTTCAGCAATAAACTCACCGCTAGGGAGCCTTTGTCCATATCATAGTTAGCCAGCTGCTTCTCCTGCTCTGTCAGCCGGCTGGTGGCCTTCTGCAGAGCCTCAGTCAGGCGCTTGTTCTGCTGCTGCACCTCTGCCATCTCCTTCTCCATCCTCTCCTCCTTCTTCTTTTTCTCATCAACTTGCTCCTTCAGTAAAGATGCCAGATACAGTATATCACACGCTGCCACTGGAGGAATCACGCACTGCTTCACTGTGACGCGTCATGTTCAGTAATGCACTGCTGTACCCCCCGTTACCCAAGTCCTTACCTTGAGTGAGTTAATGAGGGACAGGTTGTTGATAGTGATGTCATTGTAGTAGTTCTTTATGTCACTGAAAGCCTTCTCATGGTTCTTCATCAGAGTATTGATGTGCCCGTTCTTCCTCTCCTCTATCTCATGAATTTCTGTTTTCCTCCTCAAATCCAGCTCCGCTCTCATAGCCTCCATCTTCTTTTTATACTTTGCCTCTATTTCTGGGGAAGAAATTAATATATATATATATATATATATATATATATATATATATATATATATATATGTATAAAATGATAGATTCCATGTTGTAATATGCAGCACGTCAATCATTTCTAAAAGTATAAGTACTTGGGTTCTATATGTGTGATCTTATTATATTTGTCGTATAACAAACCTCGTACTTGCCGTTCAAAATCACTCATTGTTTTGGTAATTTCTTCCTCTTGCTTCTGTTGAAATTTCAGTTAGTAAAGGACAGCTGGTGAGATCTATGGCATCGTACAAATGTAATAACCCATTTCTAATGACCACAATCTACCACAAAACCTTCAAAGGAACACTCAGAAGCGTATTACACTCGGAAGCGTATTACACTCGGAAGCGTATTACACTCGGAAGCGTATTACACTCAGAAGCGTAGGCCAGTGTCCACATACCAGTTTGAGGCTCTTCACTAGGTTCTCATGCCCTAGCTCCTGCTCCTTGTAATCCACCTTGAGAGCCCGCATGGCCCTCCGCAGCTCGTTCTCCTGGTTTCCGTGCTCCTTCTGCATCACCTTGCTGGTCAGCACCCCTTCAGTCTTCAGCTCGGCGATGTTGTTCTGATGTTCATACAGCAGGTGCTTCACCTTCTGCTTATAAACCTGTAAAGAGACAAATGGGATAAATTAATGAAGCGAAGTGTGTAGATCCCACATCTCAGCCACAGCAAAGACTGGAGCTCATTTTTACAGCTAAGCAATCAAAATTCTACTTCTTACATTCCAAGACAACTAAAGTCAACTCAGCCCATATCGCTGTCTATGCAGTGCGTTCCTGATCCTCCACAGGTAGGTGCCTTTGCCCTGCACCATTAGTCACCGACTGGTTTCACCCACTATTCACCCATTGGGGAGTCCAGAGTCTATCCCGAAGGTTACGCGCACAAGGTAGGGAATAACCCAGGATGGGGCGCCAACCCATCACAGGGCACATTCACACACCAGTCCCTCACACATGCACACCTATGGACAATTTGGTAACTTCAATTAACCTCAGCATGTTTTTGGATTGTGGGGGGAAACTGGAGTACTGAGAGGAAACTGCATGACGATATGGGGTGAAGATGCAAACTCCACACACGGCACCGTGGCAGAGATTTGAACCCTGGTCCCAGAGGTGTGAGACAACAGAACTAACTGATGCCTTATTCCACCAATGGTCCTAAAAAACTAAATTCCCAAAAGCGAACTTACCTTAATTTCCACTTGGTGTCGTTCTTCAGACTCCTCTATCTCCCTGTCCCGGTTCCTGAGCTCCGCCTTCTTCTCCTCCAGCTGCCTCCTGGTGATCTCCCAGAAGGTATGGATCTTGTCCCTCTCCAGCTGGAAGTAGTTGCGCTCCTCCCTTTCTCTATCCAGCTCTTCCCGGAGCCGCACAATGTGCTCCTCCAGCTTCAACATCCCCAGAGTTAAAAGTTAATTTGTCCTTAATATGATCTACAGCAGTTACAGGCTCTACACGATCCATAATTAACTGAACAGCATACGGATCTTTTTATGACTTAATATAAACACTAAACAGAGCATCGCACGCAGACCCAGTCAAAGGCCCTACCTGCTCCTTCGACATCTCTTCAGTGGAAATACCATCTACCACAGGGGGGGGCTTTCCCTTTGCAGACTTTGCAGTTTTCTTTTTCGGAGGCTGAAATATAGAGTATTAGCTACTATACCATTCCATGTCAAAGTCTGGTAATGGATTTTGTGCACATATACAGCATTTTAGCTAGACTAGCTATCTCTCTAGATGGACGCAGCCTCGCCTGCTGTTGTCAGACCATTTGATGGACATTTTGCTAAAACGCTGCTTTAAGGTTGCACAAGCCAACTAGCTAGTGCGTTAACAAGTTTCACATCTGCGGCAACTTTTCTTGAAAGCTACGTTCATGTAGTTTATGATTCGGCGTCACACGAAGGACAGGAAATAATAACAAACGTGATAATGGGCAAGCAAGTATAATCGTTGGTAATGGCTTACCATGTTGATACAACCAGTGCAAGACGATGGTAATAAGTGGTAGAGGAAGGGGAGTATTTTAAGCTGCGATCCCTGTAGCAGACAGCAAACGAAGCCGTTTCTTAGCAACGTGGCGGTTTTCTCGCGATAAACGGGATTCGCCGGAAGGATTAGGGGCGGGGCCAGCCGTCTCGGAGGGCGGTCACAATGCCGTACAAGTCGATTAAATCATCTGCACATTTTCCACATGGCAGCCATGGGCTGGAAAAGTTGAATAATACTGCGCCCCGGTAAACTGGAAGTGTGTGTCATTTTTAATAGTCAGTAGTATAATGGTGAGATCATAAGGCGGATGGCACAGTGTTTCAGTGAATGCCAGCATATGTGGGCTATGGCAATGGATAGGCCTAATAGCTAAATATATCTATGTGTTTGGTTAAATGTCAATACAAAATATTCAAGATGAAAATACAGTAAAACTGGTGTGACGAAGGGTTTTTCTTCCTTCAAGACATTCACAAACCATTAATTTTTAATTAATACCTTTATCCACTAGAGGGCAGAATCTGCCTGGCAACACTCGTGCGGCCAAAAATTATTTTCTAATTTATTTGTCAGTGAAATTATATTTCAGTATTATTTATAAAACACTTACATTTGACATTGATTTTGTTTAAAGGTAAATAAAGTATCATCAAGATAAAAATGTAACGTCACTCATTACATCTTCTTTATAAACTAATAAAAGCGCATCAATTGTACTAGTCATATTAATATTAGATATGTCGTTCACGAGTGATATATAATTTCTATTATATAATATATGTATAATTCATCCGGCGGTGTTCCTCATATGAAATAGAAATCTATTTATTAGAAGAAGTCTTTCGGTTAGGCCTATAATCTCTGTTATTAATTAAACATTTGGGATTACATTAAACTTTAACTAGTCATGTGGTTTAGTTTTTTAGAACCAACAAAACAAAAAGGCATGTTTTCATCCCGAAGAAGCGCTGATGCCAAGAATGACGCTGCATATTTCATACAGGTGCAGGTCCCGCGCATGAAGGGTGCGGCAATGGCAGTGGGACTGAAATACAATACAAAATAAACACGAGAAAACATCATTTGTACCCAGTAGCACCTTTACACATAGAATGCAAACTGGGGAAGCCTTTTGTTTTCTGTCAGTGTCACTCATAATTCATTAAGCCGTGTACGTAAGAGCTTAAAGGCAGTGGCTAAGAGAAATTCTTATTCTTGCACTAATGATTTAACAACATGTAGCACCCCCCCCGCATCTCCGACTCTTCATAGTCTGCGCCCAGTTCCAAACCAACACCCCTCCCATGACAGTTCATCCATTTAGTGCGGGCAGTCTGCCAGGATGCCACACACACACACACACGCACACGCACGCACACACACACACGCACACGCACGCACACACACACACACACACACACACACACACACACACACACACACACACCGCCTTTCCCCACTCTCCAGATCTCTCCGTCTCTTTCCTCCGCAGTTTCCCCCGTGCCGGCTCATTTACAATGCTGCGCTCACTGTGAGCAAAGGCTCCGTGATCAGCAGAGCGATCGCCCCCCCTCTCTCCCTGTCTTGCGGCTGGCGGTGGCAGCGTCCCCGGAACTGCCGTGCTCGTGTAGGGATGCGTCGCCGGTGAGAATCGCTGGTGGGGGGCAAAAAGGGGTGTCGTTGCTGTCTTATGCCGTGGAGAGTGGAGCCGGCGCGTCTCTCTCTCCCCCGCTGTATATCTCGCTCCCTCTCTCTTTATGCATGCTGCCTTAGACAGCCTTGCACACTCCCCCTGACTGGATGGAGGCACAAGGAGGGGCAAGTACCCCAGGTAGGTGCAAGCTATGGATCCTGACTAATATAACGTACAGATGTATAGGGGGGGGGGCGTATATGGGGAAAGACACGCAGGCATGAAACTCTCTGTAAATGTGAAATTGAAAATATGTGTATTTATAACAAGTTGTTCCTCATGTAACAAAAAGACAAACTTGTCACGGTTAATGCCGAAGTGGGACTGTTCTTTGAGATTCACTGTTTAAAACCGTTTTCTGTGCCTTTGTTAAAATTTTGAGTTATAGTAAAAAAAACTGTTGTTTCTAGTTTGATTCGACAACAAGCTCTTCAGACGCCACTTGCTGTAACAGTTTATAATAATGTAATGCTCTTAATCTGCTGCGTTATATTTGTTATCTTTGCTCATTAAGATAGGCTACGTGTATTTCCTGTGCAACTGATTATCACAATACTGTAGTAGAAGTGGCTTGTCAGTGTACCCTGGGTCGGTGGAAATGCGGCTCCTATCTCACTTTTATGAATTTCAGCTGTCGGTATTGTACAGCGTTCGCGATCCCCGCCTGGTTTGTCTATGTCAGTGCTGCCTTATATACGTTAACATTTCGATTATTTTAAATGTTTTTTTTAATTGCATATCATAAACCAAAATAGATCTCTTAACGAGATCGTCCCCTCGCTAATGCTGGGGTTCGTGGAGCAGGAAGGTTAGTTGTCAACTGCAGGGCAGGACCTGCGCGAAACAAAAGCCTACCGGCTTCAGATTGCGCCGCTTCGCCACCAGACATCTGGCGTACAGCTTCAAAGTATCTCCTCCCGGCTCTTCCCACCGCAAGTAACACTGTCCGCAAGCAGAGGCACCTACGCGGGCGCTGCTCCCTGCTTTATGTAGATGATCGATAATCTTCGCTTCTCTGTACCTTTGCTCTGATGCCTATTGTTTCACAGCCGCTGCATGACTCAACCGTACATTTAACAAAAACATCCACCACACCCTCCCCTCCCCTATCTATAGTAGCCTATATGTATCCCTTGCATATATGTGAACGCTACAAGATTACAGAAATCCGATCTCTACCACCTGTATTTCATAACATGGCACTCTTGATGTATATATTCAAAGGTGACATAATAAAATTAGTCCAAGAATGTTTCTTATAAACACCCGAAGATAGATTAACAGCAGGACATAGGCTTACTCAGAAATGATCGCTTTCCTTGATAATGCATTGTTGGCGAGCATGCACCATTGTTAAATGCGTTTCGTATAGTTGACTTTCACTGTCGCACAGGCGTATCCCGTAGCATGAAGCATATGCGGTGCATGACTGCATTACCATTCCAGCCTCAGAGTTAAAGACGGCGCGGAAATGGGCAGCTGTCTTTAATCACCATCCCATGAATGCGAGGCTGCATTTCCGTAAACTAAATTACTGCTATGATTAATTACCGCGGAATCCACTGTGAAATCTCTCGGCTCGTGTCTAATGGATTTTAACAATTGTATTGAAGGCAGCACATTCCAAAAAGTTAAACTATAGCAAACGCACATGGCATAATAATAATAAAACATAATAATAATAATAATAATAATAATAATAATAATAACAATAACAATAATAAGAATAATAATAACAACAACTATTATACAGCCCTGATGGAGTACCTCAGTGAGATCTATATATATATATTAACACTTGGCACTCATAACATTTGCTGGTACTTGTTCCAAACAACTGCTCCATTTAATTGAGCTGTTGAAAAATATATCGATCAATACGTCGCATACAATAAATAGTAAAAGTAACGGACCATCCATCCATCCATCCATTTATCTATCCTCTAACCACTTAAAGCTGGACTCGATCGCATTCAGTATACGGCACAAGGCTGTGATACACCTCAGGGACGTCAGTCCATTACAGGACACATACATAATATTACAAACTTCCCCCTGAGCTACCGTTAAATAATTTAAAGCTGTATAAAATTACAGCTATTTGAAAATGTAAAATATCCTTTAATTTGATGTACATTAAATCACAACAAATTAGTATACGTAAAAATATGTGTCATCACTAAAGCAAAACCTGAGGACCATAGAGCAGTTGTGTGTATTGAGATACAACTATGCAATTAAATCAAGCTCAGCTGTGGTTTCCCATCATACGGGCGCATGAACCATCATAAAAACAGGGCTTGATGTCTGAAAAAGCCAGAACCTTTCTAACCCGAAGTCGGCTAAACCTAAATTTGGGACTTAGGGTGACACAACATTCTGTTGGAAAGTAATATGCTATTAAACTGAGCTAAACTGTGGTTTCCCGTTACAAGGGCCCCTGAGCTATCATAAAACAGGTACTGATGCGTGAAAATGCCAGAACCGTCTTACCTCTAACCCTAGCATCAGTTGGGCAACCCTAATTTGGGGATTTAGGGTAACAGAACAGGCTGTTGGAAGTATGAAACATGGTATTAATATACAAACTAAAAGAACTGCAGTACAATGAAATTTTGATAGAAATGTTGAGGCATGCCTAATGACAGATAAAGAATTTAATTAACACCTCAAAGACCAATTAATTAGGGACTGAGACTGAAGAAAATCAGCATACAAAGTGGGTCCCCTGGAGCAGGATTTAGAGTCCTGTCATAGACACTGTTAATTAGACCCTACACATCGTTAATTGAAACTACAGTTGACTTATCACTGTTTCGTGGTAAAAACCTTGTAATACAGCCTGTTGAGATATTAAATCTATGAGTCAATAATATGAATATACACTATGCATGGAGTATGAATAAATTAAGAATTTGTGTTAGCCACACTGCCTTTAAGGTCTTATGTACAAGGTTTAATTTAATATGGTTTGGTAGCATCACAAAGATGAATTTTTGTCCAGTGCCACTGATCTTCACAGAGAAGCAGACAGTGTGTGTTTCTATATTTAATACCAGTCATTTCTTTACCTGAGGAGACTGAACTCCCTGCTGGCTTAATCTAATTAGGAGTCTCTTGCAAGGCTGAGCCACATCCTCAGTCTGGGTCCCCTGACCTCGGTCTGGGTCCCTGTCACAGAGGGCTTGGCATATTACAGCTTGAAGCCAATTTAGGTCTATGGCATGTGACACGATGCACAGATTCTGGACATTTTCGGTCCAGATTAAAGCCTAAGAAGACGGCAATGTTTGGGGGTGGGGGGGGGGCACTTGGGTGGTGCTGGCAGTCAGCCCCGAATCTCACAGAAAAGCCAAGAAAGGCATTTCTGTGGCAGGTGATGTTGACACTTATTTAATTAAAATGCAGGGCAAACAATTCCACAACCGCATCAAGAACACAGTATGAATATTAAGCTGCTTTAAGGGACAAAGACGGCGAAAAGAGTGACCTAGAAGAGAGGGCCGGGCAGCTCACAGAACACCTAGAAGAGGGGGCCGGGCAGCTCACAGAGCACCTAGAAGAGGGGGCCGGGCAGCTCGCAGAGCACCTAGAAAAGGGGGCCGGGCAGCTCACAGAGCACCTAGAAGAGAGGGCCGGGCAGCTCACAGAGCACCTAGAAGAGGGGGCCGGGCAGCTCACACAGCACTTGAAAATCTAGGAAATGTAAATCACTATGCCGTAGGACTATATCTTAATTGCACAGCAGGCCATTTTGGAAAATAAGGATATGAATATGAAAATATGGATTACAGTCTAGTAAGTGCTCATTCATGCTGCTAAACTGTGTATCAGTCCATCTCATGTTCAGAAACAACTGTTCCTCAGGTTTCCTGTAGTGAAATTTGTGATCTTATGAATATTTACTCTAAATAAACATTTTCTTTAACATTTTTATGATGTATCACTGTGTAGTAATATTTTAATTGTTATGATATTTATGAGTTCACAACCCTGTACTGAATAAGTGGTTAAAAGACAGATGTGATTATTAGCAGTGATATTAAATAATACACTAAAAGAGTAACATTGTTTTTTTCAGTTCAGTAACAAATCATCTTACTGAGGAATCATCGAGTCTTTGGAGCTCAACTCAAAGTTCATGAAATTTTAATTCATGCTGATACTGTGAATAGACAGAAACAGAGGAGCTGAAACACAGGCACACAAATACTGGATTAATTGCATTAACTGTTATTTTCTTTCTTTGGCAGTCTGGGAGTGGGTGAAAGGCTGGGTGTACCCAGTGGGGTGTTTGCTGTTGTTTTCTTTGTGATTTTTCTTTCATTGTTTTCTGAGCTGTTAGTATAAACACCATTGTAAGTTGTAAGACGGCCCAAAATACTGCCATGCCGGACCTCCTCTAGAGACGCTGGAAAGCTACGACCACTCAGAATAGCATGTGACTGACAGAGTCATGAGTAGAATGTGACGCATGCAAACTAATCACTGCTGCTAACCTCCCAGGCTGGAAAAGAATGCCTCACTGTTCATCTGCCTTCCCTTGCAGAGCCAAACAAAGACATCCTGAATCTTCTTCTGAAGCCATCCAGTTCAGGAGACCTGGCCCCAGAGCCTTCCCACAATCCAGTAGAAGAGGAGGAGGTCCCTGTGACTAACTCCGGACTGCTGCAGGTCACTGAGAGGAGACGTAAGTGCTGATGTACCAGTGACCCTCTGGAACAGTGCTTCCCAGTCCAGTCCTTGGGGACCCAAAGACAGTGCATGTTTTTTACCAGGAGCTGGGAGGGAGCAAAAGTGTGGACTGTCTGACAGGGAGCTCAGAGGATGCAAAAACATGGGCCGACTGTAGGTACCCGAGGACTGGATTGGGAAGCAATGCTCTGGAACGACAAATGACAGTGGGCAAGAGCGTTGAATATGGACAGAACATACAGCATGGATATGGGCTTATTAGGTTTGCAGCACCAGGCTCTTTACTCATGTGGTGAATGCCTTAGTCAGTCTATTACAGGTGCAATGTTACTACCTTACCTCACACCAGTTTAACATCAGCCATTATTTCTGTTGATTAATGTTGCCTGGAACATGAAAATGGCCGAATATTGTGTGTTCACAGTGTATCACTGCTTGGTATGTGAGTATCTGGTATTGAGTCTTAAGGGACACTGTCACTCTTACTTGATCTAGGACAACATTCTGTAGGTGCTGTTCAGCTAAGTAACAAATTTTGATTTGCATTTAGTTTTTTTTTTCACGCTTCTTCTACTTTGGGTCCACATGTTTCATTTTACCTACAGGTGAGATTTTGTAGGTTGTGAATTTTTAAAGTGTGGTTAACCCACCAAATGGAACAAGTACTTCGCCCATAAAGTTCCACAACAGAACCTTTTTTCAAGGGAGAATTTTGTTGACGATATGTAAAGCCACTTTTCGTGAGAAGCAGCATACTGGCCCGTCTGCGTATCAGAACACGTCGTTTCGCGGGTCCCATTAAATGCAGGCCAAGGCCAGGCCAGAGGTCTCGGAAAAGCAGCGCCTTCGAGGTCAGTGTTGTGTGCTGTCTTTCAGCAGCAGATAAGGAGGTCTTTTGAGCTGAAAGGTCAATAGGGTTACCTTGCAGTCCAACAAATGCCAAATCGAGGGGGCAGCCCGACCCAGTGTAAGAGGTTATGTTCGGGTGCACTTTCATAGGGTGAATAAGCAGGACAAATGCCTACTGTGCTCTGTACCATCAGCCAACCAAGCATGTAGGTCAACCACCATTACACATGCAGCCCAATAACCAACCAGAAATGCAGGCCTAAAAACAGGAAGCGGCCTGCAAGCCCTCAGCCTGCACATGAACACTGTCCCCCTGCACCCATGCCTGCCTTGTGAAGTAAACAGAACCTGACCATCTCCCAGCCTGAAGCCAACATTAAAAGTTAATAGTGTGTTTTGCAGGAAACGTCCTTCTCAGTGGACAGGGTCATTGTCATGGCCTCTTGTGGTGCATCATCTTTTGAATTTAACATGTGTTACTGGGGTGACTGGTGCGAACAGCATCTTCTCAGCTAAATGTTTCCACTCTCTGTCGCTTTGATTTGCCAGCTGGCTAGTTATGCTTCGGCTGAGGACTCCACAGCAGAAATGAAAGTCTGCATCAGATTTCTGCGAGAAGATTAACCATTGCCTGTCTTCAGTCTTCCCGGTTTGTGAGGAAAGCATGGCGTGCAGAATCATAGAAATGCGTTTGTTCAATGTCCTGGTGGAAAAAGCAGCTCCAGTTGTAAAATGTTTTCGATCAAAGGTCGAGCATCACACCGTCCGTCTGACAGCGGGGGCCAGGAAATCCTGCAGGCTGCCTCAGCAGGTGCTCTGCTCAGTTTTGCCGCATCAAGGTCACCAGGAGATCACAGTTGCCATCTTCATTCCTGCCCTCCAGAACAAACCTTGTCAATGACTCTTTATTAATGGCCCTTTTAATGACTCTTTAACACTCTATAATGCCGTCTTTGCTTTTCTTCTCTTCCTTTTCTCTCTCTTTTTCCTTTGTTGGATCCTCTTTAGTCTCATCTGGATTTTCTCTCCTTCATCAACCTTGTCATTGTCCAATGAAAAATAATGGCACACATAATTCCAATACACATATGTTATATTATGGTATAATATACGAAGATATATTGCTAACATATGATGTAGCTGGAGGATTTTGTAATGCATTATACTGTATATTATAGAGCAACTCTTTGACACATATTCCCACATCACACCTTGACACTTTGTTATAATAAAAAAAGTTAAAGTAAATATTTCCAGTGAGATTTTGTAGGTTGGGAGTTTTTTTTTCTTTTTTTTCATTTGCGGGTCAATGATATCATATCACCGTGTGAGTCAGTGAGCCTCGTCGGAGTGGTGGCCTTGATTGTAGTTAGTGAGCTAGGCAGGCTACCACTCAGAAGTAGGAGATGGGGAGGGGGGCGGGGGTGGGTTAACCTCAGGTCGCCCCACTGGAAGCCCGAGGAAGAGGGAGTGGGGGAATCTATGAAATAGCGCAACCTTTGACTTGGTACAATACCTACGCAATTAGTAAAATCAGTCACACTACGAAATGTTACCAAATACATGACGATTGATTTATAATACAGTAAACATACAGTTTCACAGATATTTTGTTGCATTATTATTATTATTTTTTTTGGTTTGTGCAAAATCATTAAGAATAATATAAAGTCAGTCCGCACACCCACTAGGTGAATTGGTTTAGTCTTGACTCTTGGTTGACAGTGTTGGGGGGGGTGATGTATTAACGGGAGTGCCAAATTAACACAAATGGATAAGATAAGGTCTGAGCCATCAGGGGCCCAGTTTAGGAAAAAAGGAAAGGAGAAAGAAGAGGAGAAACATGCAAAAGATAAAGGAATGCAGGAAGCCATTGTACAAAATAATACGTGTAAGGAGATAGGCGGCTAGTGTAACACTGAAATGTTTGTCAGCCAATAGGGTAATACTGTAACACTTATATTGTGTTTTTGTATTTATATACTACAATTTGTTTCTATTTGTTAGTTCTTTTGGATATTTATGAATCTTATTTTGTATAGCTCTAAATTTTATTGATTTGTATAGTTCCAAATGTCCTAATAAACCTGACAGTTAGTGCTGAATGGTGGGAGTTTTTGTTACTGTGGGGGGTCGTTTGTAAACGCCCCTCTGTTCCAAGTTCAGTGCCACACCTCCAACAATATCCCCTCCTTTGTTCAGATTGGACTCCTGGTGCTGCCTGAAGGAGGTCCCTAATATTTATGCTGCCTGAAGGAGGTCCCTAATATTTATGCTGCCTGAAGGAGGTCCCTAATATTTATGCTGCCTGAAGGAGTTCCCTAATATTTATGCTGCCTGAAGGAGGTCCCGAATATCTTTGCTGCCGCTTTTCTCATTCAGCAATTGCCCTCAAGCGCTCGCTGGACACATTTCCGACGGTGTCCCTGTGCTGCATTTCCCGGCCGCTCAGTGACAAGCTCTAATGAAGATGCAAATGTGATGCGAAAAAAGCTGGTGCTTCATCATAATGCAAAATATACCAAATCGTCCTGAAGCCATGAGTTGTTCGTCTGTGTCAGCAAATGGTACCAGCAGTCGGAGTCAGACTCAGCATTTCGATGTGGGTGGGGTCCACAAAGTCGGAGTCAGACTCAGCATTTCGATGTGGGTGGGGTCCACAAAGTCGGAGTCAGACTCAGCATTTCGATGTGGGTGGGGTCCACAAAGTCCCCTTCTCACTTCATCTT